ATACTCCAGCTTGGGCAACAAGAGCAAAACTCCATCTAAATAAATAAATACCTGACTTGTCAATGCCCAGCCACCAATGAACATCTATAAGCATCAAGACCATCCAGAATAAATGACCTTACCAAACAAACCAAATAAGCCACCCAGAACCAATCCTCGAGAAACAGAGATATGTGACCTTTCAGAGATAGAATTTACAATCGCTGTTTTGAGGAAACTCAAAAGAAATTCAAGATAACACATAGAAAGAATTCAGATTCTATCAGATAAATTTAATAAAGAGATTGAAATAATTAAGAATCTGCTGGGCGTAGTGACTCATGCCTGTAATCCCAGCACTTTGGGAGGCTGAGGCGGATGGATCACCTGAGGCCAAGAGTTCTAGACCAGCCTGACCAACGTGGAGAAACCCTGTCTCTACTCAAAATACAAAATTAGCTGGGCATGGTGATGCATGCCTGTAATCCCAGCCTGGGTAACAAGAGCGAAATTCAGTCTCAAAAAAAAAAAAGAAAAAAAAACAAAGAAAACAAAAAACCAAAAACAACAACAACAAAAATACCCAATGATCTGTTGTCTACAAGAAACATACTTCACCTACAAATAAAAGAGTAAGAGTCTGGGTCCTGAAATGCAGGCAGTCCCGCTTCATACATGAGGGAGGGTGTCTAATCATTTCCTTTCTCCCTTCCCCCAGGCCCTTCACAGGTGCCTGCTGGTTTCTCCCACTTGGCCAAGGAAACACTTGTGGTTAATAAGTCTCAGAAAAGTTATATGAAAGTTAAAAGTAAAACTGACAGCAGCTGAAGGCTGGGGGGTGGGAGGTGGTCACGGTGGAGGAGACCCCACCACCACTGCCACCCAAGTAGGCAGTGAGGAGCACTACTTCTGCTGACCCTCCAAAAATACTCTGCACAAACCTTCAAGAAACATCCTTGTCCACTGTATCACCTGCTGACAGATTTCACATCCTGGTCTCCTTCTAAACCTGGAGGTGGGGCATGAACAGGGTGGAGTCACCAGGGAAAGAAAACAAGGCCCCAGGACACCTGGGTTCATACCCAGGTCCCCAGCAATGTCTCCACTACCACTGTTGCTACCCCTGCTGCTGCTGCTGCTGCCTCTGCTGAATATGGAGCCTGCCAGGGCCACACTGATCCGGTATGGTGACCCCACCTACCACCCCCAAACTTGGGAGGGATTCTCTGCCTCTTGCCCTTTAAGTCTAGGACTCCCAGTTCAGTGATTCCCAAACTTGGCACCCAGGATCCCTAGCACTTCTTTCTCAGCTTCCCAGATCTCTAAACCAGGCTGTCACCCCTAAGAGCTCCACTCTGACATCTCTTAAACCAGATGTTTGTTTTTTTTTTTTTGAGATGGAGTCTCACTCTGTTGCCCAGGCTGGAGTACAATGGCATGATCTCAGCTCACTGAAACCTCTGCCTCATGGGTTCAAGCAATTATTCTGCCTCAACCTCCCAAGTAGCTGGGATTACAGGCTCATGCCACCATGCCCGGCTAATTTTTGTGTTTTTAGTAGAGACGGGGTTTCACCATGTTGGCCAGGCCTGTCTGGAACTCCTGACCTCATGATCTACCCACCTCAGCCTCCTAAAGTGCTGGGATTATAGGCGTGGGCTACTGCACCTGGCTGACCAGAACCCTTTTATTATTATTATTATTATTATTATTATTATTATAATATTATTTTTAAGACAGAGTCTTGCTCTGTCACCCAGGCTGGAGTGCAGTGGCGTGATCTTGGCTCACTGCAAGCTCTGCCTCCCAGGTTCATGCCATTCTTCTGCTTCAGCCTCCCGAATAGATGGGACTACAGGCATCTGCCACCACGCCCGGCTAATCTTTTGTATTTTTAGTAGAGGCGGGGTTTCACCATGTTGGCCAGGCTGGTCTTGAACTCCTGACCTGATGACCTGCCTGCCTCAGCCTCCTAAAGTGCTGGGATTACAGGCGTGAGCCACTGCGCCTGGCTAGGACATGTTTTTGAGAGGTCTCTGCAGACCCCACTATAAGCTCTGATGATTAGATATTACGGTTTCCAGACCTGTGACACACTCCTCCCATCTCAGAGCCCCAGATATGTGACATTTAAACTGAGACTCCCCCACATCACGCCCATCAAACTGTTTGGCCTGAAGAAGTAATTGGCCAGAAGTTTTTGGCCAGAGACGTGGCTCACACCTGTAACCCAGCACTTTGGAAGGCAAAGGTAGGAAGACCGTTTGAGGCCAACAGTTTTGAGACCAGCCTGGGCAACATGACCAGACTCCATCT